TTTGTTTTTCATTTTCCCCCCACCCTTGTCCTTGGGCAGGTGGGAGCCTGCGGGTTCAACAGCCGGATCCTGCCCAATGTCTACCCCATCCGGCTGGTGAAGGTCAACGAGGACACCATGGAGCTGCTCCGGGATTCCCGGGGGCTCTGCGTGCCCTGTCGGCCCGGTGAGCGCCGTCCCCCACGCTGACCCCAAAAATTGGGATGGCAGGTCAATTCTGGGCTGGTTTGGGGGGTTTTTGGGGGGTTTTTTCCCCCCCCGGAGCGGGATCAGTTCCTCAGAGGAACCTCCTTTGGTGCCCACGAGGTTTAGGCTGACAGGGGATGTTGGTGTCCTGTGGTGACCCCAAAACCCACCGGTGGTACCTTGAGCTGTCCCCCTGAGTTGATCCCACAGCTGTCAATGGTGTCCCCCTGAGTTGATCCCACCCCTGTTAATGTCCTGAGTTGATCCCACACCTGTCAGTGGTGTCCTGAGTTGATCCCACCCCTGTCAGTGTCCCCCTGAGTTGATCCCACACCTGTCAATGGTGTCCTGAGTTGATCCCACCCCTGTCAGTGTCCCCCTGAGTTGATCCCACACACCTGTCAATGGTGTCCTGAGTTGATCCCACCCCTGTCAGTGTCCCCCTGAGTTGATCCCACCCCTGTCGGTGTCCTCCTGAGTTGATCCCATAACTGTCAATGCCCTGAGTTGATCCCATAACTGTTGATGTCCTGAGTTGATCCCACACCTGTCGATGTCCTGAGTTGATCCCACCCTGAGTTGATCCCATAACTGTCAATGTCCTGAGTTGATCCCACCCTGAGTTGATCCCACACCTGTCGATGTCCTGAGTTGATCCCACCCCCGTCAGTGCCTCGAGTTGACCCCACCCCCGTCGTGCCTCGTGCTGCCCGTCCCTCCTGTGACCGTCCGGGCGGATCCCGGGCAATTTTTGGGATCCCATCTCCCCGTGGCTGCCCCCCAGGAGAGCCGGGGCTGCTGGTGGGGCAGATCGACCAGCGGGACCCCCTGCGCCGCTTCGACGGCTACGTCAGCGAGAGCGCGACCAGCAAGAAGATCGCCCACGACGTCCTGCGCAAGGGGGACCAGGCCTACCTCTCAGGTACCCCCCACGGGCACCCCAGAGCCGGGATCGGCTCCTGGAAAGGCCGGATCTGATTCCCAGGGGATGAGGTTTCAACCAGGCCAAGCGCTGGGTCCTGCCTGGCTGCTCTCCAGGTGCTCTGTCCCCAGCCCCAAGGGTTGATCCGATGATTCCACGGTTCCGTGATTCTGTGATTCCATGATTCTATCATTCCACAATTCCATGATTCTGTGTTTCCATGATTCCATGATTTTATGATTCCATGATTCCATTATTCTATAATTCCATGGTTCCATGATTCTGTGATTCCATGGTTCCGTGATTCTGTGATGCTATTGTTCCATGATTCCATCATTCCACAATTCCATGATTCCATGGTTCCATGATTCCGTGATTCTGTGTTTCCATGATTCCATGGTTCCGTAATTCCATGATTCCATGATTCTCAGAATTCATATTACGTGATTCTTCCATTCCCATAATATCCATGACTTCTATGTTTCCATGATTCTATGGTTCCAGTTCGCTGATTCTGTGGATTCCATGATTCTAAGTGATTCCATGATTCCATGGTTCCATAATTCCATATTCTGTGATTCTATGATTCCAGCGACTATCCATGACTATCTGATGATCCCTTGATTCCACGATTCCATGATTCTGTGAATTCCATGACTTCCACGATTTGCAGATTCCATGATTCTATGATTCATGATTCCCACTGATCCCATGATTCCATGATTCCTATTGTGATGCGGATTCTGTGATTCCATGATTCTGTGATTCCATGATTCCACTATTCCATGATTCTGTAATTCCATGATTCCACAATTCTATAATTCCATGATTCTATGATTCCATGATTCCACGATTCCATGATTCTATGATTCTATTATTGCATGATTCCATGATTCCATGATTCCACGGTTCCATAATTCTATGATTCCACGATTCCACGATCCCCCCCCGTTGGAGGAGCAGGGGTGGGGACGCCCCCGCTGGGACAGGACCGGTGTCTCCCAGCGAGGATTCCGGGGTGTCCCTCCCCCCGAGGTGGGGATTATTCTGGGATTTCATGGACGTTCCCGCTGTTCCCAGGGGACGTGCTGGTGATGGATGACCTGGGCTACCTGTACTTCCGAGACCGCAGCGGGGACACGTTCCGGTGGCGCGGCGAGAACGTCTCCACCACCGAGGTGGAGGGGGCCCTGAGCCGCCTCCTCAACCAGGCCGACGTCGTGGTCTACGGGGTGGCCATTCCAGGTGGGAAAAACACCCCCATTCCCGCTGTTCCCACCCCAGGAGTGGAGGGCGAGGCGGGCATGGCTGTTCCCATTCCCACTGTTCCCGTTTTTCCCACCCCAGGTGTGGAGGGCGAGGCGGGCATGGCTGTTCCCATTCCCACTGTTCCATTCCCACTGTTCCCATTCCCATTCCCACTGTTCCCATTCCCATTGTTCCCATTGTTCCCACCCCAGGTGTGGAGGGCGAGGCAGGCATGGCTGTTCCCATTCCCACTGTTCCATTCCCACTGTTCCCATTCCCACTATTCCCATTCCCATTCCCACTGTTCCCATTCCCACTGCAGGAGTGGAGGGCGAGGCGGGCATGGCTGTTCCCATTCCCACTGCTCCCATTCCCACTGCTCCCATTCCCACTGTTCCCATCCCAGGAGTGGAGGGCGAGGCGGGCATGGCTGTTCCCATTCCCATTCCCACTGTTCCCGTTGTTCCCGTTGCAGGTGTGGAGGGCCAGGCGGGCGTGGCTGTTTCCATTCCCATTCCCACTGTTCCCATTCCCACTGTTCCCATTGTTCCCATTCCCACTGCTCCCATTCCCACTGTTCCCATCCCAGGAGTGGAGGGCGAGGCGGGCATGGCTGTTCCCATTCCCATTCCCACTTTTCCCATTGCTCCCGTTGCAGGCATGGAGGGCAAGGTGGGCATGGCTGTTCCCATTCCCATTCCCATTCCTATTCCCACTGTTCCCATTCCCATTCCCACTGTTCACATTCCCATCTTAGGAGTGGAGGGCAAGGCGGGCATGGCTGTTCCCATTCCCACTGTTCCCATGGTTCCTATTTTCCCACATTTCCCACCCCAGGTGTGGGAGGGCAAGGTGGGCATGGCTGTTCCCATTGTTCCCATTTTTCCCATATTTCCCATTGCAGGCGTGGAGGGCCAGGAGGGCATGGCTGTTCCCATTCCCATTCCCATTCCCATTCCCATTCCCATTCCCACTGTTCCCATTCCCACTGTTCCCATTGTTCCCATTGTTCCCATTGTTCCCGTTTTTCCCACCCCAGGTGTGGAGGGCAAGGCGGGCCTGGCTGTTCCCATTGTTCCCATTGTTCCCATTGTTCCCATTTTCCCACCCCAGGAGTGGAGGGCAAGGCGGGCCTGGCTGTTCCCATTGTTCCCATTGTTCCCATTGTTCCCGTTTTTCCCATTGTTCCCATTCCAGGTGTGGAGGGCAAGGCGGGCCTGGCTGTTCCCATTGTTCCCATTTTTCCTGTTGTTCCCTTTGTTCCCACCCCAGGCGTGGAGGGCAAGGCGGGCATGGCTGTTCCCATTCCCATTCCCACTGTTCCCATTCCCATTGTTCCCACATTTCCCATTGTTCCAGGAGTGGAGGGCAAGGCGGGCATGGCGGCCATCGCGGACCCCTGGTCTCGGCTGGACGCGGGGGGTCTGTACGAGCGGCTGGTGCCGGTGCTGCCGCCCTACGCCCGGCCCGTCTTCCTGCGCCTGCTGCCCAACCTCGACACCACCGGTACCCACCGGCACAGGGATGGGGCTGCGGGGCTGCGAGGGGACCCTGAGATGGGAGGGGCTGCAGGGGATGGGGAGGGGCCATGCGGGGGAGGGGACTGTGGGGAGGGACTGTAGGGGAGGGGAAGGGGACTGCGGGGGATGGGGAGGGGCTGTGGGGAGGGGAGGGGCCTGTGGAGAGGGGGAGGGGCTTGCGGGGACGGGGAGGGGGCTGCGGGGAGGGGAGGGGGCTGCAGGAGGGGAGGGGACTGCGGGGAGGGGAGGGGCTGTGGGGAGGGGGAGGAGCTTGTGGAGAGGGGGAGGGGTTTGCTGGGAGACGGGGAGGGGACTGTGGGGAGGGGGAGGGGCTTGGGGGACGGGGAGGGGACTGCTGGGAGGGGAGGGGACTGTGGGGAGTGGGAGGGGGCTGCGGGGAGGGGAGGGGCTGAGTGGGAGGGGAGGGGCTTGTGGGGAGGGGGAGGGACTGTGGAGGGGAGGGGACTGTGGGGATGGGGAGGGGCTTATGGGAGGGGAGGGGCTTGTGGAGAGGGGGGGGACTGTGGGGAGGGAGGGGACTGTGGGGAGGGGGAGGGACTGTGGGGATGGGGAGGGGCTGCGGGGATGGGGAGGGGCTGCAGGGGAGGGGAGGGACTGCGGGATGGGGAGGGGCTGTGGGGATGGGGAGGGGCCTGTGGGGAGGAGGGGACTGTGGGGATGGGGAGGGGGCCTGTGGGGGAGGGGGAGGGGGCTGCGGGGATGGGGAGGGGACTGTGGGGATGGGGAGGGGACTGTGAGGATGGGCCTTTGGGGAGGGGCCTGTGGGATGGGGAGTTTTCATTTTGGTGTGTTTTCTCGTTTCTCAATTTTAATTTCCACTTTGCGTTTTATTTTTCACCTTTAATTTTTTCGATTTCAACTCCTTATTTTTCTGGGGTTTTTTTCGGGATTTTTTGTCCCTTTCTTATTTTTTTTTTTTTGCAGTTTTTTTTTTAATTTCCCCTGTTTCTATTTCAAGTTCTTTTTTTTTTTTCTGGGTTGCTTTTTTTTTTGGTGTTTTTTTGTTTGTTTGTTTGTTTGGTTTGGTTTTTGGTTGTTTGTTTGTTTGTTTGGGGTTTTTTTGGGATTTTTTGTGGGTTTTTGTTGTTGTTGTTTTTTTTTTCATTTTTTAACTTCATTTTTCCCTTTCTCTTTTCCCTCCCTCCCCGTAATTCCCTCCAACCCCGATTCCCAGGGACCTTCAAGCTGCAGAAGAGCTCGACTGAGGGGGGAGGGCTGGGACCCCCAGCTGGTCCCCGACCGGCTCTTCGTGCTGGACCCTCAGCGGGGCCGCTACGTCCCCCTGGACCAGGGGATGCACCAGCGGCTCTGCTCCGGGAATTCTGGGCTCTGAGCCCCCTGGAGCCAGGAAATCCATGGAATCTGCTCCGGGAATTCTGGGCTGTGACCCCCCTTGGATCCAGGAAATCCATGGAATCTGTGCTGGGAATGCTGGACTGTGACCCCCCCTGGATCCAGGGAAATCCAATGGAATTCTGGGCTGTGACCCCCCCTGGAGCCAGGGAAATCCATGGAATCTGCTCCGGGAATTCTGGGCTTTGATCCCCCTGGATCCAGGAAATCCATGGAATCTGTGCTGGGACCCCCCCTGGATCCAGGGAAATCCAATGGATCTGTGCTGGGAATGCTGGATCAGACCCCTGGATCTAGGAAATCCAATGGAATTCTGGGCTGTGACCCCCCCTGGATCCAGGGAAATCCAATGGATCTGCTCCGGGAATTCTGGGCTGTGACCCCCCCTGGATCCAGGGAAATCCAATGGATCTGTGCTGGGAATGCTGGACTCTGACCCCCTGGATCCAGGGAAATCCAAGGAATCTGTGCTGGGAATGCTGGGCTGTGACCCCCTGGATCCAGGGAAATCCAAGGATCTGTGCTGGGACCCCCCCTGGATCCAGGGAAATCCAATGGATCTGCTCCGGGAATGCTGGGCTGTGATCCCCCCTGGATCCAGGGAAATCCAATGGATCTGTGCTGGGAATTCTGGGCTGTGACCCCCTGGATCCAGGGAAATCCAATGGATCTGTGCTGGGAATGCTGGGCTGTGACCCCCCCTGGATCCAGGGAAATCCATGGAATCTGCTCTGGGAATTCTGGGCTCTGACCCCCCCTGGATCCAGGAAATCCATGGAATCTGCTCTGGGAATTCTGGGCTGTGACCCCCCCTGGAGCCAGGAAATCCATGGAATCTGCTCTGGGAATTCTGGGCTGTGAGCCCCCTGGATCCAGGAAATCCATGGAATCTGCTCCGGGAATTCTGGGCTGTGACCCCCCCTGGATCCAGGGAAATCCAATGAATCTGTGCTGGGAATGCTGGGCTGTGAGCCCCCCTGGATCCAGGGAAATCCAAGGGATCTGTGCTGGGAATGCTGGGCTGTGACCCCCCCTGGATCCAGGGAATCCAATGGATCTGTGCTGGGACCCCCCCTGGATCCAGGGAAATCCAATGGATCTGTGCTGGGAACGCTGGGCTGTGACCCCCCCTGGATCCAGGAAATCCATGGAATCTGCTCCGGGAATTCTGGGCTGTGACCCCCCCTGGATCCAGGGAAATCCAATGGATCTGTGCTGGGAATGCTGGGCTGGGACCCCCCCTGGATCCAGGGAAATCCAATGGGGAGGGACCTTAAAGGAAAATTTCCAAGGAAAACAGCAGAATTCCCAGGAAAACTGTGGGATTCCCGGATCAACACCGGCCTTCCCAGGGACTGGGGGAGGGAAGGAACTTCCAGGAAAATTCCCAAGGAAAACCACGGGATTCCTGGATCAACACCGGCCTTCCCAGGAACTGGGGGGGGAAATTCCAGGAAGATTCAAGGAAAACAGCAGAATTCCCAGGAAAACCACGGGATTCCTGGATCAACAGCGGCCTTCCCAGGGACTGGGGGGGGGGGAAAATTCCAGGAAGATTTCCAAGGAAAACAGCAGAATTCCCAGGAAAACCGCAGGATTCCTGGATCAACACCGGCCTTCCCAGGAACTGGGGGAGGGAAGGAACTTCCAGGAAAATTCCCAAGGAAAACCACGGGATTTCCAGATCAACACCGGCCTTCCCAGGGAATGGGGAGGGGAAATTCCAGGAAGATTTCGAAGGAAAACAGCAGAATTCCCGGGAAAACCACGGGATTCCTGGATCAACACCGGCCTTCCCAGGGACTGAGGGGGGAAATTCCAGGAAGATTTCCGAGGAAAACAACAGAATTCCCAGGAAAACTTGAGGGGGAGGGGTGGGAAGAAGGGATGGATCTTCACAGCTCCTCCCTCTCCCCTCCAGGGCGCTGATTCGCGGCGGGCAGCGCTAATTAGCGACTAATTAGTGGTTCATTAACCCCTCCCCTCCCCCCCCAGGGCCCGTTTTTTGTGCCGGCGGATTTATTTATTGAGGAATTAACCGAATTAGCCCCTTTTTAGCCCGTTTTTAGCCCCGTTTTTAACCCCTCGGCTGTGCCTGACTGCGAGGCCATTAAAAACCAGTGACTGCGCTGGTGTGGACTGGGAGATGGGGGGGGGAGGGGCTGGAATGTAGGCTGGGAAGGGGGCTGGGGGGCTCAGCCTGGACAAAAGGGGGTCAGGGGGCGTTTTGTGCTCTGGGACCCCCTGACAGGAGGAGGGGAGGTGTCAGAAAGGGGCTCTGGGACCCCCTGACAGGAGGGGGAGGAGGGGGTGTCAGAAAAGGGGGCCCAGGGAGCTCTGGGACCCCCTGACAGGAGGGGGAGGGTGTCAGAAAAGAGGGGCCCAGGGGGCCTTTTGTGCTTCTGGGACCCCCCCTGAAAGGGAGGGGGAGGGGGAAAATGTGGGAAACAGAGGGGCTCAGGGGGCCTTTTGTGCTTCTGGGACCCCCTGACAGGAGTGGGGGAGGGGGTGCTGGTGCAAGGGGCCTCAGGGGACCTTCTGTGCTTGAGACCTCTGATGGGGGAGGTGTCAGAAAAGGGGGCTCAGGGGGGACCTTCTGGTACTCTGAGACCCCCTCTGAAAGGAGGGGGGAGCCGGGGAGGGGGTGGTGCAGGTTAAGACCGTGATTCTGTGATTGATTCCGTGATTGAATCTGTGATTGATTCTGTGATTGACTGATTGATTGATTATGTGGTTGATTCTGTGATTGATTCCGTGATCGATTCTGTGATTGACTCCGTGACTGATTGATTCTGTGATTGATTCTGTGACTGATTCCATGACTGATTCCGTGATTGATTCTGTGACTGATCGATTCTGTGATTGATTCTGTGATTGACTGATTCTGTGATCGATTCCGTGATTGATTGATTCTGTGATTGATTGATTCAGTGATTGATTCTGTGATCGATTGATCGATTCTGTGACTGATCGATTCTGTGATTGATTGATTTTGTGATTGATTCTGTGATTGACTGATTCTGTGATTGATTCTGTGACTGATCGATTCTGTGATTGATTCTGTGATTGACTGATTCTACAATTGACTGATTCTGTGATTGATTGATTCTGTGATTGACTGATTCTGTGATTGATTCTCTGATTGATTCTGTGATTGATTCTGTGACTGATTGATTCTGTGATCGATCGGTTCTGTGACTGATTGATTCTGTGACCGATTGATTCTGTGATTGATTGATTGATTGATTGATTGATTGATTGATTGATTGATTGATTCTCTGATCGATCGCGTGGGGCGGACCAGGCCGCACACCGTTGCTAGGCGACGCTCCGCTCTGATGACGTCACTCGCGCCGCGACGCCTCCCGGCGTGCCCGGTTGCCTGGCAACGCGTCGCGCGGGTGACGCCACTTCCGCCTTCTCCTCGCCCCTCAGGCCGCCATGGCGGCCGTGTCGGTGTTCCCGTCGGCGCGGGAGCTCGGCCCGGCCCTGGCGCGGATCGTGGTGGAGGCGGCGGCCGAGGCGGCGCGGGAGGAGGGCGGGCGGTTCTCGCTGGGGCTCTCGGGGGGCTCCCTGGTGGAGCTGCTGGCGCGGGAGCTGCCGCCCGCCCTCAGCGCCGCCCCCGCCGCCGCCGACCCCGCGCGGTGGCTCCTGGCGTTCTGCGACGAGCGGCTCGTGCCGCCCGAGCACCCCGACAGCACCTACGGCGCCTACCGGGTGAGCGGGACGGGGAGGAGGGGGGATGGAGCCCACCCTGTGAACCCCCCCAAGGGGATGGAGCCCACCCTGTGACCCCCCAGCCCCAAGGGGATGGAGCCCACCCTGTGACCCCCCAGGGGATGGAGCCCACCCTGTGAAACCCCCCAAGGGGATGGAGCCCACCCTGTGAATCCCCCGGGGATGGAGCCCACCCTGCAGACCCCCAGCCCCGGGATGGAGCCCACCCTGAGACCCCCAAGGGGATGGAGCCCACCCTGTGAAACCCCCAAGGGGATGGAGCCCACCCTGTGAATCCCCGGGGATGGAGCCCACCCTGTGACCCCCAGCCCCGGGGATGGAGCCCACCCTGTGACCCCAGCCCCGGGGATGGAGCCCACCCTGTGACCCCCAGCCCCGGGGATGGAGCCCACCCTGTGACCCCCCAGGGGATGGAACCCACCCGGGGATGGAGCCCACCCTGTGACCCCCAGCCCCGGGGATGGAGCCCACCCTGTGAACCCCCAAGGGATGGAGCCCACCCTGTGAAACCTCCCCGGGGATGGAGCCCACCCTGTGACCCCCGAGGGATGGAGCCCACCCTGTGACCCCCAGCCCCAGGGGATGGAGCCCACCCTGTGACGCCCCCGGGGATGGAGCCCACCCTGTGACCCCCAGCCCCGGGATGGAGCCCACCCTGTGACCCCCGGGGATGGAGCCCACCCTGTGACCCCCAGCCCCGGGGATGGAGCCCACCCTGTGAAACCCCCGAGGATGGAGCCCACCCTGTGACCCCCCCGGGATGGAGCTCACCCTGTGACCCCCCAAGGGGATGGAGCCCACCCTGCAGACCCCCCGGGGATGGAGCCCACCCTGTGACCCCTCAAGGGGATGGAGCCCACCTGCAGACTCCCCCAGGGATGGAGCCCACCCTGTGACCCCCCAGGGATGGAGCCCACCCTGTGAAACCCCTCCCAGGGGATGGAGCCCACCCTGTGACCCCCCGGGGATGGAGCCCACCCTGTGACCCCCAAGGGATGGAGCCCACCCTGTGACTCCCCAAGGGGATGGAGACCCACCCGAGGATGAAGCCCACCCTGTGACCCCCGGGGATGGAGCCCACCCTGAGACCCCCAAGGGATGGAGCCCACCCTGTGACCCCCAAGGGGTGGAGCCCACCCGAGGGATGGAGCCCACCCTGTGACCCCCAGCCCCAAGGGGTGGAGCCCACCTGGGGATGGAGCCCACCCTGTGAAACCCCCAGGGGATGGAGCCCACCCTGTGACCCCCAAGGGGATGGAGCCCACCCTGTGACCCCTCCAGAGGATGGAGCCCACCCTGTGACTCCCCCCAGGGATGGAGCCCACCCTGTGAACCCCCCAAGGGGATGGAGCCCACCCTGTGACCTCCCAAGGGATGGAGCCTGCACTCCGGGATGGAGCCCACCCTGTGGCTCCCCCAAGGGGATGGAGCCCACCCTGTGAACCCCCCCAAAGGGGATGGAGCCCACCCTGTGAAACCCCCAGGGGATGGAGCCCACCCTGTGACCCAAGGGATGGAGCCCACCCAGGGGATGGAGCCCACCCTGTGGCCCCCAAGGGGATGGAGCCCACCCTGTGACCCCCCAGGGGATGGAGCCCACCCTGTAGAAACCCCCAGGGGATGGAGCCCACCCTGTGACCCCCAGGGATGGAGCCACCCGGGATGGAGCCCACCCTGTGAACCCCCCAGGGGATGGAGCCCACCCTGCTGGCCCCCAGCCGAGGGATGGAGCCCACCCTGTGACCCCCAGCCCCCGGGGATGGAGCCCACCTGTGACCCCAGCCCCAGGGATGGAGCCCACCTGTGACCCCCAAGGGATGGAACCCACCGGGGATGGAGCCCACCCTGTGGCCCCCAGGGGATGGAGCCCACCCTGTGACCCCCCAGGGGATGGAGCCCACCGGGGATGGAGCCCACCTGGCCCCCAAGGGGATGGAGCCCACCCTGTGACCCCCCAGCCTGTGTCGACCCCTGATCCCCCATGCCCCCTGTGTCCTCTGACCCCCTGTGCCCCCTGGACCCCCTGTGTCTCCTCCAGCCCATGACCCACCCGTGTGCCCCCTGTGTCCTCTCTGATCCTCCCCCGTGCCCTCTTGTGCCCCCAGGCCCAGCTGCCACCCCAGGCCGTGTCACCCCCAATGCCCCTTCACCCCCCTGTGCCCCCAAGCCCAGCTGCTGCCCGGCTGCCTTCCTGGCCGTGTCACCCCCTGACCCCTGTGCCCCCTGACCCTCCTGTGTCCCCCTGACCCCCTGTGCCCCCTGGCCCCCTGTGCCCTCCAGGCCCAGCTGCTGCCCTGGCTGCCGCCCCTGGCCATGTCACCCCCTGACCTCCCCTGTGCCCCCTGTGTCCCCCTGTGCCCTCCTGACCCTCCTGACCCCCTGTCCCCCAGGCCTGGCCTGCCCCCTGCCCGTGTCACCCCCTGTGCCCCTGGCCCCCTGTGCCCTCCTGACCTCCCTGTGCCCCTGTGCCTCCTGACCCCCTGTGCCCCCAGGCCCAGCTGCTGTCCTGGCTGCTGCCCCTGGCTATGTCACCCCCAATGCCCCCCAATGCCCCCTGACCCCCTGTGCTACCCCCTGTGCCCCCTGACCCTATGCCCCCAGGCCCAGCTGCTGCCCCCTCGGGCCGTGTCACCTCACCCCCTATGCCCCCCTGTGCCCCCAGGCCCAGCTGCTGCCCCAGCTGCTGCCCCCTGGCCGTGTCACCCCCTGTGCCCCTCCCTGACCCCCTGTGCCCCCAGGCCCAGCTGCTGCCTAGCTGCTGCCCCTGGCCGTGTCACCCCCTGACCCCCCTGTGCCCTCCTAATGCCCCCCTGTGCCCCCAGGCCCAGCTGCTGTCAGTTGCCGCCCCTGACCCCCAATGCTGCCCCCTTGCCTTTAGGCCCAGCTGCTGTCCTGGCTGCCACCCTGGCTGTGTCACCCCCGTGACCCCCTGCTGACCCCTGACCCCCTGTGCCCCCAGGCCCAGCTGCTGTCCCAGCTGCCGCCCCGGGCGCGGGTGCTGTCGGTGACCCCCGGGCTGGACCCCCACGCTGCTGCCAGGGACTACGAGGAACAGCTGCGGGGGGTACTGGGGGCACTGGGGGCACTGGGAGGTGGATTAGAGGGGACTGGAGGGGATCAGAGAAGAACTGGGAGAGGGATTGGAGGGACTAGGGGGATTAGGAGGGACTGGGAGGTACTGGAGGGGATGGGAAGGAACTGGGGGGATTGGAGTGAACTGGGGAGATTGGAGGGAACTGGGGGGATTAGGAGGGACTGGGGGGATTGGAAGGAACTGGGAGGGATCAGAGGGAACTGGGAGGATCGGAGAGGAACTGGGAGGATGTAGAGGAGCTGGGGAGGGGGATTAGGGAGACTGGAGGGACTGGAGGATTAGAGGAACTGGGAGGGATTAGAGGAACTAGGAGGGACTGTGGAGGATTAGAGAGGAACTGGGAGGGGATTAGAGGGAACTGGGAGGGACTGGGGGGGATTAGAGGGAACTGGGAGGGGATTAGAGGGAACTGGGAGGGACTGGAGGGGGATTAGAGGGAACTGGGAGGGACTGGAGGAGACTGGGAGGGACTGGGGAAGGATTGGGGGAACTGGGAGAGGAGCAGGGAAACTGGGGAAGCTGGGACTGACTGGGAGGAACTGGGAGGAGAAAACTTGAGAGGGGGAATGGAGAGCCCAGGGGGAAACTGGGATGAACTGGGAGGGGGACTGGGGAAATGGGGCAGAGGGTCACCAGGATGAACTGGGGGGGAACTGGGGGGTTCACCAGGGTGTGGGGAGGTGTCCAGGGGTCTGCAGGGGGTGTGACCCCCCCCCCCTTTGTCCCCTCCCCCCAAGGCTTTCCCAGGGCAGGAGGTCCCTGAGTTTGAGCTGCTGGTGCTGGGGTGGGCCTCGATGGACACACCTGCTCCCTGTTCCCGGGACACCCTGCTCCAGGTGGGACTCTCCCGGGGTCTGTCACACCCCAGACACTGTCACCACCCCCTAGACCCTGTCACTGCCCCCAGACCCTGTCACCCCCTAGACACTGTCACCACCCCCCCAGACCCTGTCCCACCCCCAGGGTCTGTCACCACCCCAGGTGTCCTTGTCATCCCCCAAGTGTCCCTGTCACCCCCAGGTGTCCCTGTCACCCCCAAGTGTCCCTGTCACTCCCCCAGGGTCTGTCACCACCCCAGGTGTCCTTGTCATCCCCCAAGTGTCCCTGTCACCCCCAGGTGTCCCTGTCACCCCCAAGTGTCCCTGTCACCCCCAGACCCTGTCACCCCCCCAAGTGTCCCTTGCCACCCCCCAGACCCTGTCACCCCCCAGACCCTGTCACCCCCAAGTGTCCCTGTCACCCCCCAAGTGTCCCTGTCACCCCCAAGTGTCCCTGTCACCCCCAAGTGTCCCTGTCACCCCCAGACCCTGTCACCCCCAGACCCTGTCACCCCAGACCCTGTCCCCCTTAGAGCCCTGTCACTTCAAGTGTCCCATGCCACCCAAGTGCTCCCAAGTGTCCTGTCACCCCCAGACCCTGTCACCCCCCAGTATCCCTGTCACCCCCAAGTGTCCCCTGTCACCCCCCAGACCTCTGTCACTCCCCAGACCCCATGTCACCCCCAGACCCTGTCACCCCCCAGACCCTGTCACCCCCAGACCCTGTCACCCCCCCAGACCCTGTCACCCCCAAGTGTCCCTGTCACCCAGCCTGCCCCAAGTGTCCCTGTCACCCCCCAAGTGTCCCTGTCACCCCCCAGACCCTGTCACCCCCCAGACCCTGTCACCCCCCAGACCCTGTCACCCCCAGACCCTGTCACCCCCAAGTGTCCCTGTCACCCCCAGACCCTGTCACCCCCAGACCCTGTCACCCCCCAGACCCTGTCACCCCCCCAAGTGTCCCTGTCACCCCCAGACCCTGTCACCCCCCCAAGTGTCCCTGTCACCCCCAGACCCTGTCACCCCCCAGACCCTGTCACCCCCAAGTGTCCCTGTCACCCCCACAAGTGTCCCTTTTCACCCCCAAGTGTCCCTGTCACCCCCAGACCCTGTCACCCCCCCAAGTGTCCCTTGTCACCCCCCAGGTGTCCCTGGGGACCCTGTCACCCCCCTCCTGTGTCTCTGCCCCGCATTTGGGGTGGTTTATCCCTTTTTTTCCCCTCTTTTATTCCTTTTCCCACTAATTCTCCACTTCGTCCATATCAGTTTTTCCCAATTTTGGGAGTTTTGGGCCCACAAAAAACCTCCCTTGGCCGGAGCAGAGCCACGAACACCCCAAGTCCCCTCGGCAGCCACCACTCACTCACAGCCTGCACATCCTTCCCCATTTTGGGGTGGTTTATCCTTTTCTCTGTGTTTTATCCCTTTTCCCACATTTTCCCACTGATTATCCACTTCCTTCTCAATTTTTCCCCAATTTTGGGCCCACAGAAATCCTCCCTTGGCCGGAGCAGAGACACGAACACCCCGAGTCTCCTGGGCAGCCACTGCTCGCCCTCAGCCCACGCATCCCTCCACATTTTGGGGTGGTTCATCCCTTTTTCCTGTTTTATCCCTTTTCCCACTGATTATCCACTTCTTCCATCTCAGTTTTTCCCAGTTTTGGGAATTTTGGGGTCCCAAAAAGCCTCCCTTGGCCGGAGCAGAGCCACGAACACCTCTTGGCAGCTGCCCCTCACCCAGAGCCTGCACATTCCTCCACATTTTGGGGTGGTTTATCCCTTTTTCCTGTTTTATCCCTTTTCCCACTGATTATCCACTTCCTCCTTCTCCGTTTTTCCCGAATTTTGGTAATTTTGGGCCCACAAAAAGCCTCCCTTGGCCGGAGCAGAGCCACGAACACCCCTGGGCAGCCGCCACTCACCCCGTTCACCCTCAGCCCGCACATCCCTCCCTATTTTGGGGTGGTTTATCCCTTTTTCCTGTTTTATCCCTTTTCCCACTGATTATCCACTTCTTTCATCTCAGTTTTTCCCAATTTTGGTAATTTTGGACCCACAGAAAGCCTCCCTTGGCCGGAGCAGAGCCACGAACACCCCTGGGCAGCCACCACTTGCCCCGTTCACCCTTAGACTCTGCATCCTTCCCCGTTTTGGGGTGGTTTATTCCTTTTGTTCCTGCTTTATTCCTTTTCCCACTGATTATCCACTTCCTCCTTCTCAATTTTTCCCCAATTTTGGGCCCACAAAAAGCCTCCCTTGGCCGGAGCAGAGCCACGAACACCCCGGGGCAGCCGCCACTCGCCCCGTTCACCCTCAGACTTTGCATCCCTCCCTGTTTTGGGGTGGTTTATCCCTTTTGTTCCTGTTTTATTCCTTTTCCCACTGATTATCCACTTCTTTCATCTCAGTTTTTCCCAATTTTGGGGCCCACAAAAAGCCTCCCTTGGCCGGAGCAGAGACACGAACACCCCTGGGCAGCCGCCACTCTCCCCATTTACCCTCAGACTCTGCATCCTTCCCCGTTTTGGGATAGTTCATCCCTTTTTCCTGTTTTATCCCTTTTCCCACTGATTATCCACTTCATCCTTCTCCATTTTCCCCCATTTTGGGCCCCAAAAAGCCTCCCTTGGCCGGAGCAGAGCCACGAGCACCCCTGGGCAGCCGCCACTCACCCTGTCACCCTCAGACTTTGCATCCCTCCCCATTTTGGGGTGGTTTATTCCTTTTTCCTGTTTTATCCATTTTCCACTTTCCACTGACTATCCACTTTCTTCTCCATTTTTCCTGTTTTTCCCAATTTTGGGCCCATAAAAGCCTCCCTTGGCCGGAGCAGAGCCACGAACACCCCTGGGCAGCTGCCGCTCACCCCGTTCACCCTCAGCCCGTGCACCCTCCCCATTTTGGGGTGGTTTATCCCTTTTTCCTGTTTTATCCCTTTTCCCACTGATTATCCACTTCATCCTTCTCCATTTTCCCCAATTTTGGGCCCGTAAAAAACCTCCCTTGGCCGGAGCAGAGCCACGAACACCCCTGGGCAGCCGCCACTCACCCCGTTCACCCTCAGCCCGTGCATCCCTCCCCATTTTGGGGTGGTTTATCCCTCTCTCCACCATTTTCCCCCTCTTCCCACATTTCCCCCTCTCCCCAGGAGCAGGATGCGGTCGTGGCGGCCCTGGAGGACTCCCCGAAGCCGCCCCCGGCGCGGGTGACGCTGACGCTGCGGGCGCTGAACGCGGCGCGGCGCGTCCTGTTCGTGGCCACCGGCGCCTCCAAGGCCCCCGTGCTCAAGGTCTGTGCGTGCATCCCGCTCCCAAGGTAAATCCCAGGATCTGGGAAGGGCTGGATCTCACTCCCCGTGTCCCCCCCAGCGGATTTTGGAGGGCGAGGAGCAGCCCCCGCTGCCCGCGGCGCTGGTGCGGCCGCGCTCGGGGCGCCCGCGCTGGCTGCTGGACCAGGCGGCGGCGGCGCAGCTCGGCGTTCCCGAGGGAAAACCGCCCGGAGAGTAGGGATGGGAGAGGATCCAGGAGCTGGGAGATCCCCCTGGAAACCACCCCGGAATCCCGGTGAGGCGTTCCCGGAGCTGAGGATTCCCAGGGACGGCAGAGGCGGCAACGCTGGATCCCTGGATCCCATTCCGGGTGGGAATGGGGAATCCCGGGGGCTGTGGACCCAAAAACCTTGGGATTTTTTTACTCCTTTTTTTTTTGGGTGCTTTGCTGAGCTTTCCAAGGAGAAATTCCTTGGATTTGCCGGGGGTTGGAATCACGTGTGGGGACGGGATGATTTTGTGCTGGAGGGTTTGGAATCTGGGTGGGAATTGGGGAGAAGGGGCTGGAATGGGTTTGGATTTGGGTCTGGCATTCCAGGCATTCCAGGAGCTGAGTATTCCCAGTATTCCCAGAACACTCCAGAGCACAGAACTAGTGCTGGATCCGTGACATTGCAAACTGGAATCCCATGGGCTGTACCCCAGAATAATGGGATTTTTCACTCTTTTTTTGGGATCAAACGGTGCTATGAGCTTGGACTCCATTAAATAATTCCTGAATCTGGTGGCTGGGGATGGAATCATTCTGTGCTGGAGGTTTGGATCTGGAGGGACTGGGATGAGGCTGGGATGGAGAAATGGAGAAGGCTGGAATGGGTTTGGATTTGGGTCTGGCATTCCAGGGCCTGAGTATTCCCAGTATTCCCAGAACACTCCAGAGCACAGAACTAGTGCTGGATCCGTGACATTCCAAGCTGGAATCCCGTGGGCTGTGCCCCAAAATAATGGGATTTTTTTACTCCTTTTTTGGGATCAAAGGGTGCTTTGCTGAGCTTGGACTTCCCATTGAATAATTCCTTGGATCTGGTGGGGTTGGAATCATGTGCTGGGGACTGGATGGTTTGGAACTGGAGGGTGTGGAATCTGGGATGGAGAATTGGGGAGAAGGGGCTGGAATGGGTTTGGATTTGGGTCTGGCATTCCAGGCATTCCAGGGCCTGAGTATTCCCAGTATTCCCAGAACACTCCAGAGCACAGAACTAGTGCTGGATCCGTGACATTCCAAGCTGGAATCCCGTGGGCTATGCCCCAGAATAATGGGATTTTTTTACTCTTTTTTGGGATCAAAGGGTGCTTCGCTGAGCTTTCCATGGAATAATTCCTTGGATTTGCCGGGGTTGGAATCACGTGTGGGGACGGGATGATTTTGTGCTGGAGGGTTTGGAATCCGGGTGGGAATTGGGATGGAAGAATGAGGGGAGAAGGGGCTGGAATGGGTTTGGATTTGGGTCTGGCATTCCAGGGCCTGAGTATTCCCAGTATTCCCAGAACACTCCAGAGCACAGAACTAGTGCTGGATCCGTGACATTCCAAGCTGGAATCCCGTGGGCTGTGCCCCAAAATAATGGGATTTTTTTACTCTTTTTTTGGGATCAAAGGGTGCTTTGCCGAGCTTGGACTTCCCATTAAATAATTCCTTGGAATCAGGTGTGGGGTTGGAATCATTCTGTGCTGGAGGGTTTGGAATTCACGTGGGAACTGGGATGGAGGAATGAGGGGAGAAGGGGCTGGAATGGGTTTGGATTTGGGTCTGGCATTCCAGGCATTCCAGGAGCTGAGTATTCCCAGTATTCCCAGAACACTCCAGAGCACAGAACTAGTGCTGGATCCGTGACATTCCAAGCTGGAATCCCGTGGGCTGTGCCCCAAAATGTCGGATTTTTTTACTCTTTTTTTGGGATCAAACGGTGCTTTGCTGAGCTTTCCATGGAATAATTCCTTGGATTTGCCAGGGGTTGGAATCAGGTGTGGGGACGGGATGATTTTGTGCTGGAGGGTTTGGAATCTGGGTGGGAATTGGGGAGAAGGGGCTGGAATGGGTTTGGATTTGGGTCTGGCATTCCAGGCATTCCAGGGCCTGAGTATTCCCAGTATTCTCAGAACACTCCAGAGCACAGAACTAGTGCTGGATCCGTGACATTCCAAGCTGGAATCCCATGGGCTGTACCCCAGAATAATGGGATTTTTTTACTCTTTTTTTTTTTGGGATCAAAGGGTGCTTTGCTGAGCTTGGACTTCCCATTAAATAATTCCTTGGAATCAGGTGTGGGGATGGAATCATTCTGTGCTGGAGGGTTTGGAATTCACGTGGGAACTGGGATGGAGGGACTGGGATGGAAGAATGAGGGGAGAAGGGGCTGTAATGGGTTTGGATTTGGGTCTGGCATTCCAGGCATTCCAGGGCCTGAGTATTCCCAGTATTCCCAGTATTCCCAGAACACTCCAGAGCACAGAACTAGTGCTGGATCCGTGACATTGCAAACTGGAATCCCGTGGGTTGTGCCCCAGAATAATGGGATTTTTTTACTCTTTTTTTTTGGGATCAAACGGTGCTTTGCTGAGCTTGGACTTCCCATTAGATGAATTCCTTGGAATCTGGGTGTGGGGATGGAATCATTCTGTGCTGGAGGGTTTGGAATTCACGTGGGAACTGGGATGGAGGGACTGGGATGGACTGGGAGGGAGTTGGGATGGACTGGGGATGGAGACTGGGAGGGGCTGGGATGAACTGGGAGGGGACTGGGATGAACTGGGATGAACTGGGAGGGGACTGGGATGGACTGGGATGAACTGGGAGGGGGCTGGGATGAACTAGGATGAACTGGGATGAGCTGGGAGGGGACTGGGATGAACTGGGAGGGGACTGGGATGAACTGGGAGACGGGCTGGGGGGGACTGGGATGAACTGGGAGGGGTCTGGGATGAACTAGGATGAATTGGGCTGGACTGGGATGAACTGGGAGGGGGCTGGGATGAACTGGGAGGGGGCTGGGATGAACTAGGATGAACTGGGATGAACTGGGAGGGGTCTGGGATGAATTGGGATGAATTGGGCTGGACTGGGATGAACTGGGAGGGGGCTAGGATGAACTGGGAGGGGGCTGGGATGAACTAGGATGAATTGGGCTGGACTGGGATGAACTGGGAGGGGTCTGGGATGAATTGGGATGAATTGGGCTGGACTGGGATGAACTGGGCTGGACTGGAATGAACTGGGCTGGACTGGGATGAACTGGGAGGGGGCTGGGATGGACTGGAATGAACTGAGAGGGGGCTGGGATGAACTGGGAGGGGGCTGGGATGAACTGGGATGAATTGGGCTGGACTGGGATGAACTGGGCTGGACTGGAATGAACTGGGATGGACTGGGATGAACTGGGAGGGGGCTGGGGTGAACTGGGACGAACTGGGAGGGGGCTGGGATGAACTGGGAGGGGGCTGGGATGAACTGGGATGAACTGGGAGGGGGCTGGGATGGACTGGAATGAACTGGGAGGGGGCTGGGATGAACTGGGAAGGGGCTGGGATGAACTGGGAGGGGGCTGGGATGAACTGGGATGAACTGGAAGGGGGCTGGGACGGACTGGGGTGAACTGGGAGGGGGCTGGGACGAACTGGGATGAACTGGGAGGGGTCTGGGATGAACTAGGATGAACTGGGATGAACTGGGGTGAACTGGGAGGGGACTGGGATGAACTAGGATGAACTGGGCTGGACTGGGGTGAACTGGGCTGGACTGGGGTGAACTGGGAGGGGGCTGGGACGAACTAGGATGAATTGGGCTGGACTGGGATGAACTGGGAGGGGGCTGGGATGAACTGGGAGGGGGCTGGGATGAATAGAATGAATTGGGATGGACTGGGATGAACTGGGAGGGGGCTGGGATGAACTGGGATGAATTGGGCTGGACTGGGATGAACTGGGCTGGACTGGGATGAACTGGGAGGGGGCTGGGATGAACTGGGAGGGGGCTGGGATGAACTGGGATGAACTGGGAGGGACTGGGATGAACTGGGAAGGGGCTGTGATGAACTAGGATGAATTGGGATGGACTGGGATGAATTGGGACGGACTGGGATGGACTGGGACGGACTGGGATGAACTGGGAGGGGGCTGGGCCGGCGAACGTGCCGATTTTGGTGGAGCAGAAGCCGCGGCCCCTCCCGGCAGCGGCTCCACCTCCTCCTCCTCCTCCTTCCCTCGGGAATTCCCTCCGGAGAAAAGAGCCTTTAATTCCCTCCAGAGCCCCGCCCCCTTCCCGAAAAAACCCATCCCAACCCCTCATCCCAAAAACTTTCCCCGGGCCCCAATCCCTGCCCCGCCCTCCTGCAGCCGCTTCCCGGGATGTCCCTCTTTATTCCCGCTTTATTCCCGGTTTTTCCCCGTTATTCCCACGTCTTTGCTCTGGGTGGATCCCCCTCCCCCTCCTGCCAAATCCCAGGGGTTTTTTTTGGGATAAAACAACCTCTGAGGGCCTGATTTTTTGGGATTTTCCCCATTCCCGTCAATCCCGACCCAGCTTTCCCCTCAGGAGCAGCCGGGAAAAATCTCCTGGGAAAAATCACGGGGGATGAGGGGCTGGGATGCTCCCAGCTGGAATTCTTGGCAGAAATTCCAGTTTTTTGGGGTTTTTTTATCTCCAAACAGCAATTCCCGTGTTTGTTCAGCCCCAGCTGTTCCCGTGGAGCCGTCCCAGGATCCCGAGGTTCGGCTGCCGCTTTTCCCGGCTCTTTTCCTTCCCTTCCCTCCCCCCTCCCAGAGCTCTCGTGGGGAAAATCGGGAAAAACACCCCCTCCAACTCATTTTCTAGCTGGAAAATATCCCCCCCCTCTCCACCATCCCATTGGGATGGAGGAATTTTGGGATAAGGGATGCTTGAGAGTGGGAAAATTTGAAGGGATAAAAAAATAGTTTTGGAAGTGGAATTTTGGGGTGGAATTTTAGGTTGAAATCCTGAAGGTGAAACGCTTAAAAACGGGATTTTTTTTTGGGGGGGGGGGGGGGGTAAAAACACAGAAAACTGGAAAAATTTGGAGACCTGGAACTGGAATTTTAGGGTGGAACTGAAGGCAAAACACCTGAAAGTGGGAAAATTCGGAGGGGAAAAATACTTGGGAAAAGGGGAAAAGTTGGTGGTGAAAATAGAAGTGGGATTTTGGGGTGAAAACACTGGAAAAAGGAGAAAAGTTGGAAAAATAGGAGTGGGATTTTGGGGGGAAAACACTGGAAAAAGGGGAGAAGTTGGCAAAAATAGAATTGGGATTTTGAGGTGAAAACACTGGAAAAAGGGGAAAAGGTGGCAAAAATAGAAGTGGGATTTTGGGGTGGAAAAACTGGAAAAAGGGGAAAAGTTGGTGGCAAAAATAGAAGTGGGATTTTTGGGGTGGAAAAAGGGAAAAGTTGGTGGCAAAAATAGAAGTGGGATTTTGGGGTGGAAAACACTGGAAAAAGGGAAAAGTTGGTGGCGAAAATAGAAGTGGGATTTTGGGGTGGAAAAAGGGAAAAGTTGGAGGCAAAAATAGAAGTGGGATTTTTGGGGTGGAAAAAGGGAAAAGGTGGTGAAAATAGAAGTGGTATTTTGGGGTGAAAACGCTTGGAAAAGGGAAAAGTTGGGAGTGAAAATAGAAGTGGGATTTTGGGGTGGAAAAAGGGAAAAGTTGGTGGCGAAAATAGAAGTGGGATTTTGGGGTGAAAACACTGGAAAAAGGGAAAAGTTGGAGGCAAAAATAGTTGGAATTTCGCCCAGGGGGCGTGGCCACCGATGGGCGTGGCTATAAGGAGGCGTGGCCACAACAGCGGGGGCGTGGCCGGGCAGAGATTTATCCCATATACGGTGCGGTGGGCGTGGCCTCAGAGGGAAGCTATCCAATCAGAGGCCGCGGCGGGAGGGGCTGTGGGCGTGTCCCCCGCGGAGGGGCGTGTCCAGGGGCAGGGCCCGTGAGGGAGGAGGGAGGGGCGGCCCAAGATGGCGGCGCGGCCGTGGCCGCTGGCGCTGCTGCTGCTGCCGCTGCTCCGGCCGGGGCCGGGCCCGGGGGGCTGCGGGGGCTCCGGGGGGCTCCGGGGCTTCGGGCCCGGCCCCGCCGCCGCCTACTTCGCCGAGGAGCGCTGGAACCCCGAGTCGCCGCTGCGGCCGCCGCGCGTGGCCGTGGCGCTGCTGGCGCGGAACGCGGCCCATGCGCTGCCCCTCGTGCTGGGCGGGCTCGAGAGGCTGCGGCACCCCAAGGACAGGATGGCGCTCTGGTGGGTCTGGTGGGTCTGGGGGCACGGGGGACACGGGGACACGGGGGACACAGGGGACACCAAGGACAGGATGGCACTCTGGTGGGTCTGGGGGAGCTTGGGGACACGGGGGACACGGGGGACACGGGGGGACACGGGGGACACCATTGGGGACACGGGGGACACGGCACCCCAAGGACAGGATGGGGCTCTGGTGGGTCTGGGGACACGGGGGACACAGGGGGACACGGGGGACACGGGGACACGGCACCCCAAGGACAGGATGGCCCTCTGGTGGGTCTGGGGACACAGGGGGACATGGGGGACACGGCACCCCAAGGACAGGATGGCGCCTCTGGTGGGTCTGGTGGGTCTGGGGACACGAGGGGACATGGGGACACCATGGGGACATGGTACCCCATGGACAGGGTGGCGCTCTGGTGGGTCTGGGGACACGGGGGACACGGGGGACACAGGGGGACATGAGGGACACAGCACCCCAAGGACAGGATGGCCCTCTGGTGGGTCTGGGGACACGGGGGACACGGGGACACGGGGACACCATTGGGGACACGGCACCCCAAGGACAGGATGGCGCTCTGGTGGGTCTGGGGGCACGGGGGACACGGGGGACATGGGGGACACGGGGGGACACGGCACCCCAAGGACAGGATGGCGCTCTGGTGGGTCTGGGGACACGGGGGGACACGGGGGGACACAGGGGACACGGCACCCCAAGGACAGGATGGCGCTCTGGTGGGTCTGGGGGCACGGGGACACGGGGGGACACGGGGGACACGGCACCTCAAGGACAGGATGGCGCTCTGGTGGGTCTGGGGACATGGGGACACCATTGGGGACACGGCACCCCAAGGACAGGATGGCGCTCTGGTGGGTCTGGGGACACAGGGGACACGGGGGACAGAGGGGACACGGGGGACACGGGGGACACGGGGACACGGGGGACACGGCACCCCAAGGACAGGATAGCGCTCTGGTGGGTCTGGTGGGTCTGGGGACACGGGGGACACAGGGGACACCAGGGACAGGATGGCGCTCTGGTGGGTCTGGTGGGTCTGGGGGCACGGGGGACACGGGGGACACGGCACCCCAAGGACAGGATGGCGCTCTGGTGGGTCTGGGGCGCTCGGGGGACACGGGGGACACGGGGGACACGGGGGGACACTGGGGACACGGCACCCCAAGGACAGGATGGCGCTCTGGTGGGTCTGGGGACACGGGGGGACACGAGGGGACACAGGGGGACACAGGTGGGGACCTCAGGGGCTGATGGAGGACAGGGGGGACACGGGGTGGGGACCCTCAGGGGCTGATGGGGACAGGGGGACACGGGTGGGGACCCTCAGGGGCTGAGGGGGACAGGGGGACACGGGTGGGGACCCCCAGGGGCTGAGGGGGATCCATGGGGGACAGGGGGACACAGGTGGGGACCCCTCAGGGCTGAGGGGATCTGTGGGGACCCTCAGGGCTGAGGGGGACAGGGGGGACACGGGTGGGGACCCTCAGGGCTGAGGGGGACAGGGGGGACACGGGTGGGGGTCAGTGAGTGACAGGAGAGGGGGGACACACAGAGGGCAGACCCCGAGCTGGGGATAAGGGGGTCCCTGGGCTCAGGGGGTACCCAGGTGGGTCCCCGGTGTGTGACACTCTGCCCCCTGTGTCCCTCCCAGGGTGGCCGTGGATCACAGCGTGGACAACACCTCGGCCCTGCTGCAGGAGTGGCTGGGCAGGGTCGGGGGGCTCTACCACAGGGTGGACTGGAGGCACCAGGAGGAGCCACGGTGAGGGCATGGAGGGGGTCCTGGGGGGTCCTGGGGTCCTGAGGGAGTCTGGGGGCCTAGGGGTCCTCAGTCTGGGGTGCAGGGGCTGTTCCACAGGGTGGGGTGGAGGCACCAGGAGGAGCCACAGTGAGGGCATGGGGGTCCTGAGGGCTTTGTAGGGCTCCTGGAGGGGTCCTGGGGGTCTTGGGGGCTTTGAGGGGCTCCTGGGGTGCTCAGGGGTCCCTCAGTCTGGGGGTGCAGGGGCTGTTCCACAGGGTGGGGTGGAGGCACCAGGAGGAGCCACAGTGAGGGCATGGGGGTCCTGGAGGGCTTTGTAGGGCTCCTGAGGGTCCTGGGGGTCTTGGGGGAGCTTTGAGGGGGCTCTGGGGGTGCTCAGGGTCCCCCTCAGTCTGGGGAGTGCAGGGCTGTTCCACAGGGTGGACTGGAGGCACCCAGGAGGAGCCACGGTGAGGGCATGGGGGGCTCTTGGGGGCTTAGGGAGGGTCTGGGGGGTCCTGAGGGAGCTCAGAGGGAGCTCTGGGGTTCAGGAGTCCCCTCAGTCTGGGGGTGCAGGGGTGGACTGGAGGCAGCAGGAGGAGCCACGGTGAGGGCATGGGGGTCCTGGGGGGCTTAGGGAGGCTTTGTGGGTCTTCTGGGGTCCAGGGGTCCCCTCAGTCTGGGGTTGGGGGGCTCTACCACAGGGTGGGACTGGAGGCACCAGGAGGAGCCACGGTGAGGGCATGGGGGGTCCTGGGGGTCTTGGGGTGTCCTGAGGGGAGATCAGGGGTCCCTCAGTCTGGGGTGCAGGGCTGTTCCATCGGGGTGGACTGGAGGCACCAGGAGGAGCCGCGGTGAGGGATTGGGGGTCCTGGGGGTCTTGGGGGATCCTGAGGGGGCTCAGGGGGCTCAGGGGTCCCCTCAGTCTGGGGTTGGGGGCTGTTCCACAGGGTGGGATGGAGGCACCAGGAGGAGCCACGGTGAGGGCATGGAGGGGTCCTGAGGGGTCCTGGGGGTCCTGGGGAATATTGGGGGCTCCTGGGGTGCTCAGGGGTCCCCTCAGTCTGGGGGTGGGGGGCTGTTCCACTACAGGTGGGGTGGAGGCACCAGGAGGAGCCACGGTGAGGGCATGGGAGGGGTCCTGGAGGGTCCTGGGGGTTTTGGGGAGTCTTGGGGCTCCTGAGGGGGCTCAGGGTCCCTCAGTCTGGGGGTGCAGGGGCTGTTCCACAGGGTGGGGTGGAGGCACCAGGAGGAGCCACGGTGAGGGCATGGGGGCTCTTGGGGGTTTTGGGGGTCCTGAGGAGATCAGGGGAGCTCAGGGGTCCCCTCAGTCTGGGGTGCAGGGGCTCTACCACAAGGTGGACTGGAGGCACCAGGAGGAGCCACGGTGAGGGCATGGGGGTCCTGGGGGTGGTCCTGGGGGTCTTAGGGGGCTTAGGGGTCCCCTTGGGCTGGGCTGGGCCAGGGGCTCACCACAGGGTGGACTGGAGGCACCAGGAGGAGCCACGGTGAGGGCATGGGGGTCCTGGGGGTCTTGGGGGCTCAGGAGCGCCCAGGGGGTGTCTGGGGGGCTCAGGGGTCCCCTCAGTCTGGGGGCTGTTCCACAGGGTGGGCTGGAGGCACCAGGAGGAGCCATGGTGAGGGGATTGGGGGGTCCTGGGGGGCTCTTGGGGGCTCTGAGGGAGCTCGGGGTCCAGGGGTCCCCTCAGGCTGGGGAGCATCCTCGTGAACGTCCAGGTTTTGGGGGTCCCAATGGGCTGTGGGGTGCCCAAATTTTGGGGGAGGGGGTCCTGTGAGTCTCCATATCCTGGGGTCTCCCTGGGCTGGGGTGCCCAAATCTGGGGGTACCTGTGGGTCCCCGGGGTTTGGGGGGGCTCCCTGTGAGTCCCCAGAATTTTGGGGGTCCCCATGGACTCCATATTTTGGGGGGTCACCCTGGGCTGTAGGTGCCCAAATTTGAGGTGGGGGGTGTCCCTGTGAGTCCCCAGGGTTTGGAGGGACCCCTGTGAGTCCCCAGGTTTTGGAGGGACCCCTGTGAGTCCCCAGGTTTTGGGGGAGGTCCCTGTGAGCCCCCAGGGTTTGGGGGGTCCCTATGAGATCCCAGGGTTTGGGGTCCCTGTGAGTCCCCAGGATTTGGGGGGTCCCCATGGACTCCACATTTTGGGGGTCCCCTGAGCCGGCTGTCCCGCTCCGGGGTGTCCCCAGCCTGTGTGGTGCTGTGGGGGTGGTCTCAGTGTGACCCCTCCCCCCAGGTCGTACCCCGACGAGGAGGGTCCCAAACATTGGAGCCCCTCCCGCTACGAGCACGTGATGAGGCTGCGCCAGGAGGCCCTCGAGGCTGCCCGGGCCATGTGGGCCGACTACCTGCTGGTGAGGGGGGTCCCCAATTTGGGGGGGGGTCCCTGAACCTCGGGGTGGGGGTTCCTGAACCCCAGGGAGGGGGCAAAGACACCCCCAGGGCAGGGGGACACACCCAGGACCCTCGAGGCTGCCCGGGCCATGTGGGCCGACTACCTGCTGGTGAGGGGGGTCCCCAATTTGGGGGGGGTCCCTGAACCTTGGGGAGGGGGCAAACACACCCCTAGGGGGGCAAAAACATCCCCAGGGCAGGGGGACACACCCAGGACCCTCGAGGCTGCCCAGTACCTGCTGGTAGGGGGGGTCCCCAATTTGGGGGTCCCTGGGGGTCCCTGAACCTTGGGGAGGGGGCAAAGACACCCCCAGGGCAGGGGGCACACCCAGGACCCTCGAGGCTGCCCAGTACCTGCTGGTAGGCGGGGTCCCCAATTTGGGGGGGGGTCCCTGGGGGTCCCTGAACCTCAGGGTGGGGGTCCCTGAACCTCAGGGTGGGGGTCCCTGAACCCCAGGGAGGGGGCAAACACACCCCCCAGGGCAGGGGGGCACAGCCAGGACCCTCGAGGCTGCCCGGGCCATGTGGGCCGACTACCTGCTGGTAGGGGGTCCCCAATTTGGGGGGGGTCCCTGAACCTTGGGGAGGGGGCAAACACACCCCCAGGGGGGCAAACACATGCCCAGGGGGGCAAAGACACCCCCAGGGCAGGGGGGCACACCCAGGACCCTCGAGGCTGCCCAGGCCATGTGGGCCCAGTACCTGCTGGTGAGGGGGTCCCAATTTGGGGGTCCCTGGGGTCCCTGAACCTTGAGGAGGGGGCAAACACACCCCCCAGGGGGGCAAAGATACCCCCAGGGCAGGGGGGCACACCCAGGACCCTCGAGGCTGCCCAGGACCTGCTGGTAGGGGGGGGTCCCCAATTTAGGGGGGGGGTCCCATGGGGCGGGTCCCTGACCCTGAGGGTGCCGTAGGGTGACCCCCTGACCCTGGGGGTCCCATGGGGCAGGTCCCTGACCCTGGGGGTGCCCTGGTGGTCCCATGGGGTGCCCCCCTGACCCTGGGGGTGCTCCCCTGACCCCGTGGATGCCCTAGGGGTGCTGTGGGGGGGGGTCCTAAACCCTGGGGATGCCCCCCTGACCCTGGTGATCCCATGGGGTGCCCCCCTGACCCTGGTGGTCCCGTGGGGTGCCCCCCTGACCCTGGGGATGCCTTGGGGGTGCCGTGGGGAGGGTCCTAAACCCTGGGGGTGCCATGGTGGGGGTGCTAAACCCTGGGGATGCCCCCCTGACCCTGGGGGTGCCCCCCTGACCCTGGGGGTGCCCCCCTGACCCTGGTGGTCCCGAGGGGTGCCCCCCTGACCCCGGGGCCGCCCCCCTGGCCGCAGTTCCTGGACGCTGACAACGTGCTGACGAACCCCGACACGCTGGGGGTGCTGATGGCCGAGAACAGGACCGTGGTGGCCCCGATGCTCGACTCCCGCGCCGCCTACTCCAACTTCTGGTGCGGAATGACCCCCCAGGTGAGCCCTGGGACCCTCAGGTGAGGTTTGGGACCCCCCAGGTGAGGTTTGGGACCCCCCAGGTGAGATTTGGGATCCCCCAGGGGAGATTTGGGAACCCCAGGGGAGATTTGGGACCCTCAGGTGAACTCTAGGATCCCCCAGGGGAGATTTGGGAACCCCAGGTGAGATTTGGGATCCCTCAGGTGAGGTTTGGGAACCTCCAGGTGAGATTTGGGACCACCCAGGGGAGATTTGGGATCCCCCAGGGGAGGTTTGGGATCCCCCAGGTGAGGTTTGGGACCCCCCAGGTGAGGTTTGGGATTCCCAGGTGAGGTTTGGGATCCTCCAGGTCAGGGTGGGACCCTGTGTCGTTCCCTGTTCTTGCTGTCATTCCCTGTTTTCCAGTGCCATTCCCGTTATCCCTGCGTTCCCAAGGCTATTATGTGCCCCGTCCCCAATGCCATTCCTGATGTAATTCCAGTGTCATTCCCACATTCCCAGGGCTGTTACCAGTGCACCCCCTCGTACCTGCCCCATTCCCGGTGCCATTCCCGGTGTAATTCCAGTGTCATTCCCTCATTCCCAGGGTTGTTACCAGCGCACCTCCTCGTACCTGCCCCATTCCCGGTGCCATTCCCAGTACAATTCCCATTATTCCTGAATTCCCAGGGCTAATACTGGTGCACCCCAGCATACCTGCCCCATTCCCAGTGCCATTCCCGGTGCCATTCCTGTTGTTCCCAGGGATATTACCGGTGCACCCCGGCGTGCCTGCCGGTGCGGCGCCATTCCCGCTGTAATTCCAGTGTCATTCCCGTTGTTCCCAGGGCTTTTGCTGCCGCATGCCCGTGTACCTGCCCCATTCCTGGTGCCATTCCCGCTGTAATTCCAGTGTCATTCCCATTATTCTCACATTCCCAGGGTTATTACCAGCACACCCCTGTGTACCTGCCGGTGCAGCGCCATTCCCGGTGCCATTCCCGGTGCCCTTCCCGGTGCCATTCCTGTTGTTCCCAGGGCTATTACTGGCGCACCCTCGCATACCTGCCGCTGCAGCGCCATTCCCAGTGTAATTTCCAGTGTAATTCCAGTACAATTCCCATTATCCCTGAATTCCCAGGGCTATTACCGTCGTACCCCCTCATACCTGCCCCATTCCTGGTGCCATTCCCAGTGTTATCCCGGTGTAATTCCCATTATCCTGGCATTCCCAGGGCTATTACCGGTGCACGCCCTTGTTCCTGCCCCATTCCTGGTGCCATTCCCAGTGTAATTTCCTGTATCCTGGCATTCCCAGGGCTATTACCGGCGCACCCCGTCGTACCTGCCGGTGCGGCGGCGGGAGCGGCGCGGGTGCTTCGCGGTGCCATTCCCGGTGTAATTCCCAGTATAATTCCCACATTCCCAGGGCTATTACCGCCACACCCCCTCGTACCTGCCGGTGCGGCGGCGGGAGCGGCGCGGGTGCTTCGCGGTGCCATTCCCGGTGTAATTCCTGGTGCCATTCCCGGTGTTATCCCGGTGTAATTCCCAGTACAATTCCCATTATCCCGTTGTTCCCAGGGCTATTACCGCCGTACCCCGTCGTACCTGCCGGTGCGGCGGCGGGAGCGGCGCGGGTGCTTCGCGGTGCCATTCCCGGTGTAATTCCCAGTATAATTCCCTGTATCCCTGAATTCCCAGGGCTATTACCGCCGTACCCCGTCGTACCTGCCGGTGCGGCGGCGGGAGTGGCGCGGGTGCTTCACGGTGCCATTCCCGGTGCCATTCCCACTGTTATCCCGGTGTAATTCCCTGTATCCTGGCATTCCCAGGGCTATTACCGCCGTACCCCGGCGTACCTGCCGGTGCCGGCGGAGCGGCGCATGTCCGCGGTGCCATTCCCGGTGTAATTCCCGGTGCCATTCCCGGTGTTATCCCGTTGTTCCCAGGGCTATTACCGCCATACCCCCTCGTACCTGCCCCATTCCCAGTGCCATTCCCAGTACAATTCCCATTATCCCTGAATTCCCAGGGCTATTACCGCCATACCCCCTCGTACCTGCCCCATTCCCAGTGCCATTCCCAGTGTTATCCCGGTGCCATTCCCGGTGTTATCCCGTTGTTCCCAGGGCTATTACCGCCGTACCCCCTCGTACCTGCCGGTGCGGCGGCGGGAGCGGCGCGGGTGCTTCGCGGTGCCATTCCCGGTGCCATTCCCGGTGTTATCCCGCTGTAATTCCCATTATCCCTGAATTCCCAGGGCTATTACCGCCGTACCCCGTCGTACCTGCCCCATTCCCGGTGCCATTCCCAGTACAATTCCCATTATCCCGTTGTTCCCAGGACTATTACCGGCGTACCCCCTCGTACCTGCCGGTGCGGAGCGCAGTTGCCCGGTGCCATTCCCGGTGCCATTCCCGGTGTAATTCCCGGTGTAATCCCTCACATTCCCAGGGCTATTACCGGCGCACCCCGTCGCTACCTGCCCCATTCCCGGTGCCATTCCCGGTGTAATTCCTGGTGTAATTCCCACATTCCCAGGGCTATTACCGGCGCACCCCGTCGTACCTGCCCCATTCCCGGTGCCATTCCCAGTATAATTCCTGGTGTAATTCCCACATTCCCAGGGCTATTACCGCCGCACCCCGTCGTACCTGCCCCATTCCCGGTGCCATTCCCAGTATAATTCCTGGTGTAATTCCCACATTCCCAGGGCTATTACCGCCGCACCCCCTCGTACCTGCCCCATTCCCGGTGCCATTCCCAGTATAATTCCTGGTGTAATTCCCACATTCCCAGGGCTATTACCGGCGCACCCCGTCGTACCTGCCCCATTCCCGGTGCCATTCCCAGTATAATTCCTGGTGTAATTCCCACATTCCCAGGGCTATTACCGCCGTACCCCGTCGTACCTGCCGGTGCGGCGGCGGGAGCGGGTGCTTCGCGGTGCCGTTCCCGGTGCCATTCCCGGTGCCATTCCCGGTGCCATTCCCAGTATAATTCCCACATTCCCAGGGCTATTACCGCCGTACCCCGTCGTACCTGCCGGTGCGGCGGCGGGAGCGGCGCGGGTGCTTCGCGGTGCCATTCCCAGTGCCATTCCCGGTGCCATTCCCGGTGCCATTCCCAGTATAATTCCCATTATCCCGTTGTTCCCAGGGCTATTACCGGCGTACCCCCTCGTACCTGCCGGTGCGTCGGCGGGAGCGGCGCGGGTGCTTCGCGGTGCCATTCCCGGTGCCATTCCCGGTGCCATTCCCGGTGCCATTCCCGGTGTCATTCCCAGTACAATTCCCATTATCCCGTTGTTCCCAGGGCTATTACCGCCGTACCCCCTCGTACCTGCCGGTGCGGCGGCGGGAGCGGCGCGGGTGCTTCGCGGTGCCATTCCCGGTGCCATTCCCGGTGTAATTCCCGGTGTCATTCCCCATTCCCAGGGCTATTACCGGCGCACGCCTCGTACCTGCCGGTGCGGCGGCGGGAGCGGCGCGGGTGCTTCGCGGTGCCGATGGTTCACTCCACGGTGCTGCTGGACCTGCGCCGGCAGCGCTCGGGGGGTCTCGCCTTCCACTCCCCCGGCCACGGCGGCGCTTCGACGACATCATCGTGTTCGCTGCGCCAGGCGGCACGCCGGTAACGCTGGGGGATGGGGGGGATTGGGGGATTGGAGACGCGACGGGGATTTGGGGGGATTTGGTGGGATGGGAGGCTTTGGGGGATTTGCAGGGGATTTGGTGGGGGATTGGGGTGGGTTTGGGTGGGATTGGAGACGTTGGGGGGGATTGAGGGTGTTAGAGGGGATTGGGGTGGGTTTGGGTGGGATTGAGGTGCAGATCTTTATCAGTAACCAGGAGGTGTCTGTAGGGGTTTATTTGGGTTCCCAATCCCATTCCCAACCCCATTCCCAATCCCATTCCCATTCCAGGGGTGCAGATGTTCGTCAGTAACCGGGAGGTGTTTGTTGGGTTCCCAATCCCATTCCCAATCCCATTCCCAATCCCAATCCCGTTCCAGGGGTGCAGATGTTCGTCAGTAACCGGGAGGTGTTTGTTGGGTTCCCAATCCCATTCCCAATCCCATTCCCAATCCCATTCCCATTCCAGGGGTGCAGATGTTCGTCAGTAACCGGGAGGTGTTCGGGTTCCTGCCGGTCCCGCTGCGCTCCCAGAGCTCCCTGCGGGACGAGGCCGAGAACTTCCTGCACGTCCAGCTGGAGATCATGGGTGAGGGATCCCTCTGGGATCAGGGAATCTGGGATTGGGAATGTCCCAGCCAGGCTCGGGGGGTGAGGGATCCCACCGGGAATCTGGGGTTGGGAATGTCCCATCCAACCCCAGGGGGTGAGGGATCCCACTGGGATCAGGGAATCTGGGGTTGGGAATGTCCCATCCAACCCCAGGGGGTGAGGGATCCCACCGGGAATCTGGGGTTGGGAATGTCCCCTCCAGCCCCAAGGGGTGAGGGTTCCCTCTGGGATCAGGGAATCTGGGGTTGGGAATGTCCCATCCAACCCCAGGGGGTGAGGGATCCCTCTGGGATCCAGGAATCTGGGATTGGGAATGTCCCATCCATCCCCAGGGGTGAGGGATCTCTCTGGGATCAGGGAATCTGGGGTTGGGAATGTCCCATCCAGGCTCAGGGGGTGAGGGATCCCTCTGGGATCCGGGAATCTGGGATTGGGAATGTCCCTCCAGCCCCTGGGGGTGAGGGATCCCACTGGGGATCCGGGAATCTGGGGTTGGGAATGTCCCCTCCAGCCCCAGGGAGTGAGGGATCCCACTGGGAATCTGGGAATCTGGGATTGGGAATGTCCCCTCCAGCCCCAGGGGGTGAGGGATCCTGCTGGGATCAGGGAATTGGGGGTTGGGAATGTCCCATCCAGCCCCAGGGGGTGAGGGATCCCACTGGGAATCCAGGAATCTGGGATTGGGAATGTCCCATCCAGGCTCAGGGGGTGAGGGATCCCAACGGGAATCCAGGAATCTGGGGTTGGGAATGTCCCATCCAGCCCCAGGGGGTGAGGGATCCCGCTGGGAATCCGGGAATCTGTGGTTGGGAATGTCCCCTCCAGCCCCAGGGGGTGAGGGATCCCGCTGGGAATCCGGGAATCTGTGGTTGGGAATGTCCCTCCATGGCCCAGGGGGTGAGGGATCCCACCGGGAATCCGGGAATCTGGGGTTGGGAATGTCCCCTCCAGGCTCAGGGGGTGAGGGATCCCACTGGGAATCTGTGGTTGGGAATGTCCCTCCATGACCCTGGGGGTGAGGGATCTCTCTGGGATCAGGGAATCTGGGATTGGGAATGTCCAATCCAGCCCCAGGGGGTGAGGGATCCTGCTGGGAATCTGGGATTGGGAATGTCCCTCCATGGCCCTGGGGGTGAGGGATCCCTCTGGGATCAGGGAATCTGGGGTTGGGAATGTCCCTCCATGACCCTGGGGGTGAGGGATCCCTCTGGGATCAGGGAATCTGGGGTTGGGAATGTCCCATCCAGCCCCTGGGGGTGAGGGATCCTGCTGGGAATCTGGGGTTGGGAATGTCCCTCCTTGGCCCTGGGGGGTGAGGAATCCTACTGGGATCAGGGAATCTGGGGTTGGGAATGTCTCATCCAGGCTCAGGGGGTGAGGGATCCCACTGGGAATCCGGGAATCTGGGATTGGGAATGTCCCATCCAGCCCCAGGGAGTGAGGGATCCCAACGGGAATCTGGAGTTGGGAATGTCCCTCCATGGCCCTGGGGGTGAGGGATCCCACCGGGAATCTGGGAATCTGGGGTTGGGAATGTCCCTCCATGGCCCTGGGGGTGAGGGATCCCACCGGGAATCTGGGAATCCAGGTTTGGGAATGTCCCATCCAACCCCAGGGGTGAGGGATCCCACTGGGATCCGGGAATCTGGGGTTGGGAATGTCCCATCCAGCCCCAGGGGTGAGGGATCCCTCTGGGATCAGGGAATCTGGGGTTGGGAATGTCCCTCCATGGCCCAGGGGGTGAGGGATCCCTCTGGGATCAGGGAATCTGGGGTTGGGAATGTCCCTCCATCCCCAGGGGTGAGGGATCCCACCAGGAATCTGGGGTTGGGAATGTCCCATCCATGGCTCGGGGGGTGAGGGATCCCACCGGGAATCTGGGAATCTGGGGTTGGGAATGTCCCCTCCAGGCTCAGGGGGTGATTCCCATGGGATATTTGGGATTGGGAATGTCCCTGCATGGCCCTTGGGGGTGATTCCCATGGGATATCTGGGATTGGTCACGGGGGTGATTCCTGTGGGATATTTGGGATGTCTGGGATTTGGAATGGGGGTGATTCCTGTGGGATATTGGAATATCTGGGACTGGGAATGGGGGTGATTCCCATGGAATACTTGGGATATCTGGGATTGGGAATGGGGGTGATCCTAGTGGGATATCTGGGATGGGGAATAGGGGTCATTCCCAGTGGGATATCCGGGATTGGGGGTGATTCCCATGGAATATCTGGGATTGGGGGTGATTCCTGTGGGATTTTCCCGTTCCCAGTGAAGTTCCCCCCGGCCGAGCCCTCCCCCCATGTGTGGGTGCCCCCCAAGGTCCTCGACAAGCTGGGCTTTGACGAGGTGAGAGCGGCCTTCCCTCGGGATTCTGGGATGGGATCCCCCTTCCCTCTGGGATTTGGGGTCATTTTCCCCTTTTTCCTCTGGATTTTGGGATGGGATCCCCCTTCCCTGTGGGATTTGGGGTCATTTCCCCCTTCCCTTCTGGATTTTGGGACGGGATCTCCCTTCCCTTTGGGATTTGGGGTTGTTTTCCCCCTTCCCTTCTGGATTTTGGGATGGGATCCCCCTTCCCTCTGGGATTTGGGGTGCTTTGCTCCCTTCCCTTCTGGATTTTGGGATGGGATCCCTCTTCCCTTTGGGATTTGGGGTCGTTTCCCCCCTTCCCTTCCGGATTCCGGGTGGTTTTTCTCATTCCCTTCCAGATTTGGGGTTGTTTGCCCCCTTTTCCTTTAGATTTTGGGACAGGATCCCCCTTCCCTTTGGGATTTGGGGTCATTTTTCCCTTTTTCCTCTGGATTTTGGGATGGGATCCCCCTTCCCTCTGAGATTTGGGGTCGTTTTCCCCCTTCCCTTCTGGATTTGAGGTAATTTTCCCCCTTTTCCTCTGGATTTTGGGACGGGATCTCCCTTCCCTTTGGAATTTGGGGTTGTTTTTCCTCCTTCTTTTCTGGATTCCGGGTGTTTTTTTCTCATTCCCTTCCAGATTTGGGGTCGTTTGCCCCCTTTTCCTCTGGATTTTGGGATGGGATCCCCCTTCCCTCTGGGATTTGGGGTCATTTTCCCCCTTTTCCTCTGGATTTTGGGACAGGATCTCCCTTCCCTTTGAGATTTGGGGTTGTTTGCCCCCTTTTCCTCTGGATTTTGGGACGGGATCTCCCTTCCCTTTGGGATTTGGGATGCTTTTTCCCCCTTTTTCTCTGGATTTCGGGTGGTTTTCCCACTTTTCCTTTGAATTTTGTGTGGTTTTCCCACTTTCCCTCTGTATTGCTGGATCTTCCCCCCTCTCCCCTCCTCATTCCCTGTGGATTATCCTGTTCCCTTCTGGATTTTGGGTGGATTATCCCACTCCCCTCCAAACTTCGTGTGCTTTACCCCCCGCCCCCAACATCGTGGTTTTGGGTCTGACCGTTCCCTTCCCACCAGGATTGGGGTGGATGTCACTCCCCATCCCATCCCCATTCCCATCCCCATTCCCATTCCCCATTCCCATCCCATCCCCATCCCCATTCCAATCCTCATCCCCATTCTCAATCCCATCCCCATTTCCCCATCCCCATTCCCATTCCCCATTCCCATCCCATCCCCATCCCCATTCCAATCCTCATCCCCATTCTCAATCCCATCCCCATTTCCCCATCCCCGTTCCCATTCCCATCCCATCCCATCCCATTCCCATCCCCATTCCCATCCCATCCCATCCCATTCCCATTCCCAGGTGTTCCTGATCAACCTGTGGTGGTGATTCCCATCCCTGTCCCCAATCCCATCCCAATCCCATCCCCATTCCCATCCCATCCCAATCCCATTCCCATCCCCATTCCCATCCCATCCCCAATCCCATCCCCATTCCCATCCCATTCCCAATCCCATCCCCAGGTGTTCCTGATCAACCTGCGGCGCCGCTCGGACCGGCGGGCGTGGATGCTGCGGACGCTGCGGGAATTGGGGGTCCCATCCCCATTCCCATCCCCATCCCCATTCCCATCCCATCCCCATTCCCATTCCCATCCCATTCCCATCCCATCCCCAGGTGTTCCTGATTTCCCAATCCCTTTCCCAATCCCATTCCCATCCCAATCCCATCCCCAGGTGTTCCTGATCAACCTGCGGCGCCGCTCGGACCGGCGGGCACGGATGCTGCGGGAGCTGCAGGAATTGGGGATCCCATCCCCATTCCCTTCCCATTCCCATCCCATCCCCATTCCCAGGTGTTCCTGATCAATCTGCAGTGCTGATTCCCATCCCCATTCCCATCCCAATCCCATTCCCAGGTGTTCCTGATTTCCCAATCCCATCCATCCCCAGGTGTTCCTGATCAACCTGCGGCGCTGATTCCCATTCCCCATCCCCATTCCCACCCCCATCCCCATTCCCATTCCCATTCCCATTCCCATTCCCATCCATCCCCATTCCCATTCCCATTCCCATTCCCATCCATCCCCAGGTGTTCCTGATCAACCTGCGGCGCCGCTCGGACCGGCGGGCGCGGATGCTGCGGGTGAGGATCCCATCCCATCCCCATTCCCATCCCATCCCCATTCCCATCCCAATCCCATTCCCAATCCCATCCATCCCCAGGTGTTCCTGATTTCCCATTCCCATTCCCAATCCCATCCATTCCCAGGTGTTCCTGATCCATCCTCCAGGCCCCGGGGGTGAGGGATCCCACTGGGGATCCGGGAATCTGGGATTGGGAATGTCCCTCCAGCCCCAGTGGAGCAGGGATCCCACTGGGACATGGGAATCTGGGGTTGGGAATGTCCCCTCCAGCCCCAGGGAGGTGAGGGATCCCACTGGGAATCAGGGAATCTGGGGTTGGGAATGTCCCCATCCAGCCCCAGGGGGTGAGGATCCCACTGGAATCTGGAATCTGGGGTTGGGAATGTCCCATCCAGCCCCAGGGGGTGAGGGATCCCAGCTGGGAATCCGGGAATCTGGGATTGGGAATGTCCCATCCAGGCCCAGGGGGTGAGGGATCCCACGCTGGGAATCCGAGGGAGTCTGTGGTTGGGAATGTCCCTCCAGCCCCAGGGGGTGAGGGATCCCGCCGGGAATCTGGGAATCTGGGGCTGGGAATGTCCCCTCCATGGCCCAGGGGGTGAGGGATCCCACTGGGAACTGGGAATCTGGGGTTGGGAATGTCCCCTCCAGGCCCAGGGGTGAGGGATCCCACTGGGAATCTGGGGTTGGGAATGTCCCATCCATGACCCTAGGGGTGAGGGATCCCTCTGGGATCAGGGAATCTGGGATTGGGAATGTCCCTCCAGCCCCGGGGGTGAGGGATCCCTCTGGGATCAGGGAATCTGGGGTTGGGAATGTCCCTCCATGCCCCAGGGGGTGAGGGATCCCTGGGATCAGGGAATCTGGGGTTGGGAATGTCCCATCCAGCCCCATGGGGTGAGGGATCCCTGATCTGGGAATCTGGGGTTGGGAATGTCCCTCCATGGCCCTGGGGGTGAGGGATCCTACTGGGATCAGGGAATCTGGGGTTGGGAATGTCTCATCCAGGCTCAGGGGTGAGGGATCCCACTGGGAATCTGGGAATCTGGGATTGGGAATGTCCCATCCAGCCCCAGGGAGTGAGGGATCCCAACGGGAATCTGGAGTTGGGAATGTCCCTCCATGGCCCTGGGGTGAGGGATCCCATCGGGAATCTGGGAATCTGGGGTTGGGAATGTCCCTCCATGGCCCTGGGGGTGAGGGATCCCACCGGGAATCTGGGAATCCGGGGTTGGGAATGTCCCATCCAGCCCCAGGGGGTGAGGGATCCCACTGGGATCCGGGAATCTGGGGTTGGGAATGTCCCATCCAGCCCCAGGGGGTGAGGGATCCTCTGGGATCAGGAATCTGGGGTTGGGAATGTCCCCTCCATGGCCCAGGGGTGAGGGATCCCTCTGGGATCAGGGAATCTGGGGTTGGGAATGTCCCTCCATCCCCAGGGGTGAGGGATCCCACCAGGAATCTGGGGTTGGGAATGTCCCATCCATGGCTCGGGGGGTGAGGGATCCCACCGGGAATCTGGGAATCTGGGGTTGGGAATGTCCCCTCCAGGCTCAGGGGTGATTCCCATGGGATATTTGGGATTGGGAATGTCCCTGCATGGCCCTTGGGGGTGATTCCCATGGGATATCTGGGATTGGTCACGGGGGTGATTCCTGTGGGATATTTGGGATGTCTGGGATTTGGAATGGGGGTGATTCCTGTGGGATATTGGAATATCTGGGACTGGGAATGGGGGTGATTCCCATGGAATACTTGGGATATCTGGGATTGGGAATGGGGGTGATTCCTAGTGGGATATCTGGGATGGGGAATAGGGGTGATTCCCAGTGGGATATCCGGGATTGGGGGTGATTCCTATGGAATATCTGGGATTGGGGGTGATTCCTGTGGGATTTCTGCCGTTCCGAGTGAAGTTCCCGCTCGGGATCCTCCCCGATGTGTGGGTGCCCCCCATAGGTCCTCGACAAGCTGGGCTTTGACGAGGTGAGAGCGGCCTTCCCTCGGGATTCTGGGATGGGATCCCCTTCCCTCTGGGATTTGGGGTCATTTTCCCTTTCCTGGGATTTTGGGATGGGATCCCCCTTCCCTGTGGGATTTGGGGTCATTGCTCCTTCCCGTCTGGATTCTGGGACGGGATCTTCCCTTCCCTTTGGGATTTGGGGTTGTCTTCCCCCTTCCCTTCTGGGATTTTGGGATGGGATCCCCCTTCCCTCTGGGATTTGGGGTGCTTTGCTCCCTTCCCTTCTGGATTTTTGGGATGGGATCCCTCTTCCCTTTGGGATTTGGGGTCGAGTCTCCCCTTCCTTCCGGATTCGGGTGGTTTTCTCATTCCCTTCCAGATTTGGGGTTGTTTGCCCCCTTTTCCTTTAGATTTTGGGACAGGATCCCCCTTCCCTTTGGGGATTTGGGGTCATTTTTCCCTTTTTCCTCTGGATTTTGGGATTGGGATCCCCCTTCCCTCTGAGATTTGGGGTCGTTTTCCCCCTTCCCTTCTGGGATTTGAGGTAATTTTCCCCCTTTTCCTCTGGATTTTGGGACGGGATCTCCCTTCCCTTTGGAATTTGGGGTTGTTTTTCCTCCTTCTTTTCTGGATTCGGGTGTTTTTTTCTCATTCCCTTCCAGATTTGGGGTCGTTTGCCCCCTTTTCCTCTGGATTTTGGGATGGGATCCCCCTTCCCTCTGGGATTTGGGGTCATTTTCCCCCTTTTCCTCTGGATTTTGGGACAGGATCTCCCTTCCCTTTGAGATTTGGGGTTGTTTGCCCCCTTTTCCTCTGGATTTTGGGACGGGATCTCCCTTCCCTTTGGGATTTGGGATGCTTTTTCCCCCTTTTTCTCTGGATTTCGGGTGGTTTTCCCACTTTTCCTTTGAATTTTGTGTGGTTTTCCCACTTTCCTCTGTATTGCTGGATCTTCCCCCCTCTCCCCTCCTCATTCCCTGTGGATTATCCTGTTCCCTTCTGGATTTTGGGTGGATTATCCCACTCCCCTCCAAACTTCGTGTGCTTTACCCCCGCCCCAACATCGTGGTTTTGGGTCTGACCGTTCCCTTCCCACCAGGATTGGGGTGGATGTCACCCCCATCCCATCCCCATTCCCATCCCCATTCCCATCCCCCATTCCCATCCCATCCCCATCCCCATTCCAATCCTCATCCCCATTCTCAATCCCATCCCCATTTCCCATCCCCATTCCCATTCCCCATTCCCATCCTATCCCATCCCCCATTCCAATCCTCATCCCCATTCTCAATCCCATCCCCATTTCCCCATCCCCGTTCCCATTCCCATCCCATCCCATCCCATTCCCATCCCCATTCCCATCCCCATCCCATCCCACATTCCCATTCCCAGGTGTTCCTGATCAACCTGTGGTGGTGATTCCCATCCCTGTCCCCAATCCCATCCCAATCCCATCCCCATTCCCA